ACGACGACACACGGCACGACACACAACGACTACGGACGACGAACGACAGAAGGGAATAACACCACAACGACTACGACGAGCAGAAGAATGAATGGAGGGCAAGGGAGAGGCTGCAGGAGAGGGGAGAGGAGGGGAGAGGGGAGAAGGAAGAGAGACAGGGAAGGAGGAGAGGGTGACGGAAGGCGAAGAGATAAAAAAAACTTCGAGGCCGAAGGTGGCCGGCTGGCCCTTCGGTGAGGGCGAACTTGAAGAGAGGAGAGAGAGAACTTAGACCCGGAGACAGCAGGATAGGGAGGGGAGAAAAGAGAGAAGAGAGCAGAGAAAAAAAGGATTGAAAGGAGGAGGGAGGAAGAGAGAGGAGAGAGAGAGGGAGGTAAAAGGGAGAAAAGCGGGGAAAAGAGAGAAGGGAAGTACAAACTTCGAGCCTCCAAGATTAAACGTGCTCAGTCCTCAGGCATGAAAGACGAGGAGAGTAGAAGAGAAGATAGGGGGAGAAAGAGGATGAAGCAGGAGAGAGAGGAGGAGAGAGGGAGATAAGCACGGGAAAAGAAAGAGAGGAGGAGTATAATAAGAGAGGAGAGGAGTGAGTAGAGAGAAGGAGACAGAGAGAGGAAAGAGACCGAACACAGCAGAGAGATAGACAGAAACAGCAAAGGAGAGAGACAGACAAACAGACCCGAAGAAATGAGAGAAAGAGAGAAGAAAACAGGGAACAGACAGACTGAAAAAGAGCGAGAGAAGAAGAAAGAGAGAGAGGGGAAGGAGAGAGAGAGAGAGGGAGAGGACAGAGAGAAAGTGGGGAAAGAGAGAAGAGAATAGAAAGAGAGAGAGAAGAGAGAGAGAAGAGAGTGTGTGAGAGAAGAGAGAAGAAAAGAGAGAGAGAGAGAGAGAGAGAGAGAGAGAGAGAGAGAGTAGAGAGGAGAGAGAGAGAGAGAGAGAGAGAGAGAGAGAGATGAGAGTGCAGTAGAGTGAGAGAAGAGAAGTAAGAGAGAGGGAGAGTGAAGTGAGAGAGGGAGAAGAGAGAGAGAGAGAGAGAGAGAGAGAGAGAGAGGGGGGGGAGAGAAAGAAAGATAGGCCGACAGACAGAAAGACAGAGAGAGAGAAAAATAGATAGATAGAAAGAGAGAAAGCGGGGAAAGAGAGAGAGAAGTAAGAGAGAAAGACAGGTAAACAGATAGATAGAGAGAGAGAGAGATAGAGAGACAGATAGGCGGAGAAATGGTTACCTTGTAACCAAGTCTCTTGCGAAAAATAAAAATAAAATCAAACTTTAATGCATTATTGATGTCAATTTCTATGTTTTATTTTTTATTAAATTATAAAAAAAATGGCTCGAAATGAGATCTTGCAACGTATTTCAGTGGCCAATTCCTCACAGGTTTCGTGTTCAGCATATCACTCAAAGATATCTATATATCTGTCTATATATGTGTGTTGGTGTATCTATATCTATCTATATATCCGTCTATCTATACATATGTATGTGTGTGTGTGTGTGTGTGTGTGTAATGTGTGCGTGTGTGTGTGTGTGTGTGTGTGTGTGTGGTGTGTGTGTGTGTGTGTGTGTGTGTGTGTGTGTGTGTGTGTGTGTGTGTGTGTGTGTGTGTGTGTGTGTGTGTGTTGTGTGTGTGTGTGTGTGTGTATGGTACACAGCATACACACCTACACATGCTAAACCTCACGCCGCCCTCAGACATAAACCAACAGACCAAAAGAATAATAAAAGTATAAAAGACACACACAAAGGTATGGAGAAGAAATAGGAAGAGAAAATACACTAGCGCCACTAGCGGAGAGCTGCCAGTGGGCCGAGGATTAAGCATTAAGGAGCAGGCAAGTGCACCTTTTCCGGAGATAAAGATATAAGGCAATGCATATATAGATATAGTATGCCCCCTTACTTAAGCATATAATCATGATCATACAAACATAAAAAAAGAAAATATAACACTGAATGAAATACGGTAAAGAACCTCAATGCTAAACACGTTTCCCTCAAGATCTTTAACAGCAGTGTGCAACGAGGCAGCGCTGTGCACAAGGAAGTCAGCGGTTTATTAGCAATTTGACTGATACATTATCAGGCGATACCGGCAAGGCAGCGGTTGCGGACGGAAGCTGTTCTCCCACGCGATAGAAAGGGGAAATGCGACACGTTCTTTTCGTTCTCTTGTCAGCGACGAACGGCTTAAAAAAAAAAAAAAAAAAAAATACAGGTTGAACCATCCACATTTTTTACGTTGTTCGGGCGACTCTTATTACCGTCATAATTAACTTGTTTATTATCCTTATTATTTATCACTATTTCTACACAAAAATTAGTCTAATAACGATGCCTTTTTTTGTTGTTTAAGTAGCAGTCGGTGGATACACTTTAAGACACGATGTACTACAGTATCGTCAGCGATAAGCCGCCACACCTGGTCCCGCGCGTTAGAATCCCACGCCTCTTTTGAGTTCATGGAATTCCCTGGAAAAATATTCTTGCGAGGATAATGAAATTTCCTTACGCTGTAGAGCCGTAGTCTTGAGAATTCACTTACGAAATAATTCCGTGTCTTAGCCGAGGGTTAGACGGGGTTTAATATTCGTTCATATGTTATCTTAGATCTTCACGAAGGAAACGGAGAGGCAGATCCATTGCAAGGGGACAAGGACACAAGGACCTTGGAGTGAAGAAGGCATCGGAGAGACACCAATGCTGGCCTATGATGGGAGTTTCCCTGGGAATGCTTATAGCACTGTTATCGGGGATATCAGTGAGATCAATTCAGATGATAAAGGAGGCCAACAGCCGGCGAGAATCGATGCATTCACTTACTTCTGCTTCGTCGTGTCGCGGAATCCTTTGGCGAAAGGGTTGCTGTCTATTTTCAGCCTCGTTATCTGAAATCAAGACGTTCAGTACTAAGAAAAAATAAAAAAAAGCAAAAATGTCCTCTTTAAATACATTTATCAGTACATTCCATTCTGATATGTGAAAGTAGCAAATATGTAATATGATGGCTAAGATGATAATAAATAAAAAGAATGAAAATCAATATGTATGTGTATATTTGGGTCATAATAAATCCATGAAGTAATTTATAAATATATGATATAATATATATATATATATATATATATATATATATATATATATATATATATATATATATATATATATACATATATATTTATATTATATATATTATATAATATATATATATATAATATATATATGTGTGTATATAATGTAATATATGTGTGTGTGTGGTGTGTTGTGTGTGTGTGTGTGTGTGTGTGTGTGTGTGTTGTGTGTGTGTGTGTGTGCGTGTGTGTGTGTGTGTTGTGTGTGTGTGTGTGTGTGTGTGGTGTTGTGTGTGTGTTGTGTGTGTGTGCTGGTGTGTGTGTGTGTGTGTGCCGTGGTATACTATATTAATTATATTATATATTAAGCCTCAACAAAGTGGAATAAATCAACTGGGAATCTATTACGGCAAAGTAACATTTATCGTGAAAAACAAGTATAAAAATATGGCAATAAGATATATAAATGTAATAACATACTAATATATATAGCAACAGTAAAAAAATAAAAAAATGGAGTAATAAAGGAAGTATGAAAAAAAAAAGAGGAGGAGTGAAAAAAGTAGAAATAGGTAAGAGTAAGAGGGAGAGGAGAAGAGAGAGTAATTAGCAGAAGAGCAAACAGCGAAAAAGACAAATAAAGAGTGTAAGAAAGATAAAGGAAAGCTAAATGATAAAATAAAAAGAATAGAGAAAGAGGAGTAAAAGAAAGAGATATAAAGGGAAGAAAAAGAGAAAAAGGAAAAGAAAAGAGAGTAAGAGAAATAAAATAAAGACAGAAGTAGATATGAGTATAAGAAAGAAAGAGAGAGAGTAGTAGAGAATGAGTAAAGTAACGAGAGGTATATATGAATGAGAGAAGATAGTAAGTTAGAGAGAGATATATGAGGAAAGAATTAGAAAAATAAGTATAAGAGAGGGAGAGATAAAGAATGAAAAATTGAAGATAATAATAAAAATATAGAACTAAGTAAAGAAGAAAAAGAAGAAATTTTTAAACAGACAAACAACAAATAAGAATTTAATTTAAGAACATAGAATGTATAAGTGAACAATAGAAAGCAAATGTAGAGACGAATGACAATGATAATAGTAAGAGTATAAAAAAAAAGATATAAGAGAGAATAGAGAGAGAAAATATAGGAGGAGAAGTATATATATAATATAAAAGAAATAGAAGTATATAAGATAGAAAAGGATGAGTAGAGAGAAAAGAGAAGCAAGCAAATATAAAAAACATATGAGGTAGGTATAGTACGAGGTATAAGATTGAGTAGAGTAGTAGAGTGATAGGTAAAGGAAGGGAATAAGGGTAGTATAAGTGAGGATCGAAAAGAAAAGGTGGTAAGAGAAAAGGAAAGATAGAGAAAGGGAGGGGCAGAGAAAATAATAGAGAGGAAGGAAAAAGAGAGAGATGAAAAAGAATAAACACGACACGCACAAGCAACACACACACACACAAACAACGAACACAACACGAACACACACAACCACCACACAAAACGCACACACACACACACACACACAGCACAACAACACGACATATATCAGAATCCATGAAAATAAAAGTAAGAAAAATAGAGAAAAGTTATGAGTAGTTATATATATAGTCCAGTAATAAGATGATAAAAGATATAAGAGGAAGAAATAAATAAAAAAAAAAAAAAATAGAGGTGTGTGTGTGTTTTTATGTAGTGTGTAGTAATGTAAGAGTGTGTGTGTGTGTGTATGTGTGGTGTGAGGAAAACAGAATAGAGCAAAATGAGGGATATATAAACAACATGTGTAGAGGAGTAGTGAGTAAGTATAGTTATGCATATCAATTTTAATAAAAATTTCAGAAGTAATAAATAAACTTGGGCACCACAACAGAAGGAAGCCAAAAAAAGAAGAAAAGAGAGAGCCACAACATCCCGCAGCTCATCTCCTTCTCAGTCAGGTTTCCGTCCATGAAAACCACTTCCCTCCTGAGAAGGCCTCCTTACCATGCTGTGACGAAAAAAGGGAAAAAAACATAGATGAGGCACAAAAATCTCATTCAAAGAACCATCCCCACAAAAACACATAAGCCAGCCAAAGGCCCTTACCCTGCTGCGTTCTGAATCACGCTTGGCCCCTACTCGGAAACACCCCTTCCCATCGCAGGCAATTAGAAGGCCCCTTACCGCTGGTTCTGATTACCTGTGGCCTCTGAACCCATTCTCCTCGCGCAGAAGGCCCTTACCTCTTTGCTGGTTCTGGTACGCTGTGGCCTCTGAACCCTTCCCTCCTGCAGAAGGCCCCTTACCTGCTGGTTCTGATACGCGTGCCTCTCGTAACCTTCGCTCCTGGCAGAAGGCCCCTTCCTGCTGGTTCTGATAACGGGCTGTGTGCCTCTGACTCCCTATCCCATCTGCAGCGAAGGCCCTTACCTGCTTGGTTCTGACGCTGTGGCTCGTGAACTTCCGATCTGCAGAAGCGCCCTTAACTTGCTGGTTCTGATACGGGGCTGTGCGCCTCTTAACACTTCCCCTCCTGCAGAAGGCCCCTTACCTGCTGGTTCGGTACGCGGCTGTTCTGATACGCTGTGACGGTGATGAAGACGACGCTGGAACACGGCCTGCACGGCGCTGTGGGCCCTCTGGCGGTCCAGAGGCGGGCAGGTCCGCCCGACGAGGCCCCGGCGGACACCTCCTGCACCCAGATCCTCGGCTGGTACTTCTGCATGGAGTGCAGGATGATCTGGGGGAGGAAGGGCGAGGCGGGGTGAAGGGCCGGGCGGAAGGGCGGAAGGAGGCGGGGAGGGCGGGCCGGCAGGGCGGAAGGAGGCGGGGTGAGGGCGGGGGCGCAGGGCGGAAGGGAGGCGCGGTGAGGGCGGGCGCAAGGCCGGAAGGGAGGCCGGGGGGGTGAC